GGCTGAGGGGAGGTGGCCGGGAGGGGCGGGAGAGCGAGGCGGGGGAAAAGGGCGGGAAGGAGGGGGTTGCCCTCAGGCGGTCCTGTCGCTGCTTACCTGGAGACTGGAGAATCCCCGCAGGTACAGAGGTCGGGGTCCCAGCGGGCTGGGTTTAATGGGTCCGTACCTGTTCCACTCCGTGAAGGCAATAGCCCGCTTCTCAGTGACGAATGGTTGAGATACTACAGGCTTTTTGTCTGATTATGACAAGGCACTAAGCTCCTCAGCGAGTACTGGGCTTCAGCCCTAAGTATGGTTTGATCTCGAAGTATTTTTTTAATTTGTTGTGTAAAAACACAAACTTTTCTGCACCTAGTTCTTTCCTTGCACCACAAAATCATATTTTTTGTGAAAGATATTAATCTTTTCCTCTTTCTTTTTCCTCATCCTCAAAATGAAACTCAGCTAGAGAACAAGACAGACAGGATGTGGGTTGACTTGAAGTGAACTGGATGTTCAGTTCAGCTCTGCTTGTTTGATCAGTTATAATACATGTAGGTGAAAAATAAAAGGATTTTGAAAATTTGGAATATTGTGCTCAGTTCTGGGCCCCTCAGTTCAAGGACAGGGAATTGCTTAAAAGAGTCCAGGGCAGGGCCACAAAGATGAGTGAGAGAGTGGAGCATCTCCCTTATAAGGAGCAGCTGAGGGAGCTGGGGCTCTTTAGTTTGGAGGAGACTGAGGGGTGATCTCAGTAATATTTATCAATTTGTAAAGGGTGAGTGTCAGGAGGAAGGAGCCAGGCTCTTTTCAGTGACAGCAAATGACAGGACAAGGGGCAATGGGAGCAAGCTGGAGCATAGAAGGCTCAATCTGAACATGAGGAAAAACTTCTTTACTGTAACGGTGACAGAGCACTGGCCCAGGCTGCCCAGAGAGGCTGTGGAGTCTCCTTCTCTGCTGACATTCAAAACCCACCTGGACATGTTCCTGCATGACCTGGTCTGGTGAGCCTGCTCTGGCAAGGGGGTTGGACTGGATGAGCTTTCGAGGTCCCTTCCAACTCCTCATATTCTGTGATTCTGTGACAAAAAAAATGGGAGTTGCGTCTGCAGATTTTTGCCCCAGGATGAACAGTCACAAATAATAAGATCTTAATAGACAGCTCTGTGCAGTGTGGTGCAGTTTGACTCAGGGAGTGAAAGAATCCCATAAAAGAAGGACACCAGGATGTTCTAAAGATGGAGGCAAACTGGTTTGTGAACAAGGGATAGAATTAAGACATATTTCCAGAAGCACTGCAAATCATTCTAAAGCAATAAAATTGATAGATTTTTTTAATGCATATGAGGCAGATACTACCTTTGGTCTTGTGTTTCAGTATACAGCTTCCTGTATTGATTTATAGGTGTTTGAACAAAACCAATGTTTTTGATGGCTTAACCAAACACACAGAATGGGAAACAAATTCTTTTGTAAGGAATTGGATCATAACATATATTGCCACTATTGTATTGTCACCATTGATTTTTAGATGATGCTTCATTTTGTGTTTCTTTATCTTCTTGGAATTACATTTCATTATTTTTTTCCCCCAGTGGATTTTGGGCTATAATTCAAAGCACAGGCTTTTAGTGATTTCACTTGCTGGTTTGTTCTTATGCTGAATTATATAGTTACTGCACAGAATAGTATGCAAGAAAATTATTTGGGATCTGCACACAAATTAATTACTTCAAAGCTTTTGATGAAAAATTAGTAACCATAAAGGTGCTTCTGATGGCATCAGGGAAAAGAGCTATGTGGTCTGTTTAAAAGTAGTCCAAGTAACTGTGTCACGAAGTCCAACTTTTATAAACAATAATAGCAAACTACATTCAGTGATACAACTCCTTACATTTCTATATATCACTTGTATTGCTTTTTGGTTGTTTTTTTTTTCATAATTAGACAAAGTGCTTTAGAGACTGTGAATCCTGGCTGTTCTTTTGGTTTTCCATTGACTGTTTTGACTGTAGAATCCAGAAGACAACACACTTCTGTTCCCCTATCCATAAAATCCTTTCACATGCAGCTGGCACACCCTAATATTGTAATATGCATGGTCGGCAGTTACACTAAAAACTTAGAGGCTGGTAGATTAAAAAGTTTCACCATCAAAGCAATAGTGTAAGATAATTGAAGTGGTCTGAAACATCTTTGAATAAAACCCTTCAAGTGCTTCTCTGGGGACTTTGGTTCTTGTCCTTCAGGTATACATTTCAAGTACATATCTTCTTGGCAAAGGCTACATTAACCTCTCTTTTTTTCCTTGGGGGAGGGGGTGGGTTGGTGGTGGCAGAGGAAAGCAAGGTGCATAACACTTCCAGAACATGTGACTGCTCTCTTTCTTTTTTCACCTTGCATTTCAAGATGTTTTATTTGTATTTGGTGAAAGCATGGGAATTGATTAGCATATAAATGTCACTGAAGTGTCTTCTGGCATCCTCAAGATCCCCAAAGGATCCTCAAGTGAGTTCTGCGTAGCATTACCTGCTTTCAAATCAGCAATTTGAACTAGGAAGATAGCAATAAGAGAAACAGTATCACTGCTGATTATGACTCTTCTATATTTCCAACAGTGAGGACTTCCTAATAGCTACCTTACTAATGAATAATTACACTTCTAGTTGTACAGGTTTCTAGATTGCATTTTTCCAATTTCTACTGGGAGTTTCTCTTTGTACTAACAGAGTTCTTGAGGTCATCATTGTCTTTCAGTATTGCTTCTCATGCATATCTTATTGAAGTGCACAGCTTAAAAGCTGTGGGGTTTGAGAGTATCTGCAATATTTAACACTTAAAATACTGCTGTTGGGAACCTCTGCAATTTAAAAAAGGTGCAACACGTTCCAGAGGTGCCATCTAGTGGAGTAGCACAGTCTGCATGGCTGTTGCTGCGCATTGCTGATAGATGTAATGGAGTAGGTCTGCTGCGGGAATTTGTTACTTATATTAGAATAACATGGCAACAGTAATTTTGTTTTCAAAAAAATGAAAACTACTCAGTTCCAGACGGAAGACACTGTCAGGATCTTTAGAATAAACACCAGGCATTTTACTACTGGTCCCCTGAATTTCCCTAACTGTTTAAGAAAAGAACTGGTATTTCTTAATGTTTTGGAAACTATCTTAAACTTACATAGGCTTCTAGCAATTATATGGGGAGGTTCAGCCTAACAAAAAGCCCTCCAAGCTTCAAGAGATTTTGTCTGCCACTGGTGGTAGCTTTAAGAATTCTGACTGACATGAAGTAGTATCAGGAAGGTAATTAGTTATGGTTTTAGATGTCAGGAATTACTTTAGACGTATTTTTTTAATAGAAATTAATTTACTAAGCGTAAGCTAGATTTAATCAAACTCTTTTCTCTTTCCACTAGTGATAAGATCCCTGCAATGTTAGTGTTACCAGCAATATGCAGCAACTAATTTCACGTGTAGCTACCAAGGTGATCTGACCACTTGCTCGTGCTTACATAAGGCAGAATAAAACCTACTTCTCTATGCAACTTTACACAAAGTAAAAAAAACAAAACAAAACAAAACCTAATTGAACAGGTGTATGTAAATAAATCTTAACTAAAGAAGCATTGTTTTCACTCTGTATATATGCTTATAGAGTTCAATTATTTTGCAGACTGAAGACTACATGGATTACTCAGACCTGTCTTCATTGTTCTGGGATTTGATCCCAGGCTGTTTTCTTCTGGTAAGCTGAATTTAATTATTTTGAGAACAAAGCAGCTACAGTGCAATAGAGGACCTTACATTACCCATTTAAGATACAAGCAAGTGGAGTTAACTACTAGTCTTCATCTTAAAGTGAAGCATTTTGAATAATAAATCTGGATCCTTTGTTGTCTGCTTCCTTTGTTGTTATCTTCACTTCTCTACCATCATTCCCACTCTGTTTTGTTTGATGTTGGCATGCCGCTTTAGAATAGGCAGTTTTTCTTGTCTTGATTTAGACTGTTAGTTAACATCCAAGCCGTAACTGTTTTGCGTTGTTTTTTCCCCCCTTCAAAAACACATTCAGAAGTCAAGTACTTAAGATTGATTTAGGGCATTTATTAGCAAAAATCAGATCTTTAACACTGGCAACTGCAGACTTATTTCCTGAGCCAGAAACATCAGAACATTTAGGTTAAAAGGTACAAATAACCAGTTGTTGTCTGTACAGCCATCACTGGACATGAGGATGCATGTATGTAGCTGTCTCTCTATGTAGGAACCAGTACACATATTCAAGCTCTCTTGAAGACCTGTTTACATACTTGATTCTCACAACGAAGCTCCTATTAAAAAAAAAAGTATAGAGGTATATAGTAATCAAAGGAACGTCCAGCTAAACTAAAATCACAGCAGGATGTACTTGCTATGTACCATCCATTACAAATACTACAGAACTAGAAGACTTGTGCATACTATGACCACATTATAGATATTATTTTTGTCATATAGAGACAGAAATTGGTAGAAATCTGAAGTAAATACCAAGTGGAGGTCATCTCCTTCAAGCCAGTGAGTCCAGCCCCTGTTCTTCTTCTCACCAATCTGGACACAGACAAGTTTGTCATTTTCCCAGGTAACTAGGCTCTGTGGTAGAAGAAACAAAAAAAAGGTGTTTCTGTATGTCTGTGTCTCAGTTCTGCATTATACTGGTAGACAATGTCCTTATTCCCTGGATAAAAGGGGACCTAAATGCTGACAGAAAGTGAAACTCCTGTCTGTAACTCGGGCTTCTGCCTCTGTGTTGCATTACAAATAGCATTCCTGAAGCAATTTCAGCTCAAGTAGCTGGATTGATCGTGGCATTTTAATTTCATTATGGCCTCTTGATTTTATATATGCAGTCTTACCTTGCATTTTCTGTTATCCAGGCCTTTATTATCTTCTTCAAACTCTTCTCCAATTTTGAACTGAAGCGAATAATCTCTGAATGTGCTAGTGGTATGAATATAAAATGAATCACCGTCTTGTTTGATCACTTTCTGAGGCTTCAACATTTTTGCTATTTTGCGTGTTGCAAAGTCAATACCTTGGACAGGAGGGAAAAAAGTCAGAGTTGTATTTCTCATCAACCATCTTGACAGCCAGGACTTACCTTTATTACTACTAGAAGCATTTCTTAGATTGACCTTACTGCTATGCAAGATTCTGTTGCTTGTTTTTTTTTTGAAGCTGTATGTTACACAGATCAAGTCATCTTCTTCTACATTTTACTCTTTGAAAACAAGTTTACTCAATTGTTGCACAATTCCCCTGCAAGATTTATAGGACTTTGAGTCAGAAGAGTCCTTTGGGGCCAGGGGCAGGGGGGAAGAGTTTTTTTCCCCCCACATAGACAGCCCAAGCTTGGTCAGTCTTACTCCCTGCTTAGCTCGAGGGAATAGTTGATGCCTAATGTCATATTTTGTCAGAGGAAAGGCATTATGTAAATTAACAAGAAATCTTTACACTCTATACCCTAAATACAGTAAAATTAAGGGCGGTCCTAAAATGAGTTACTCAGGCTTGTTTTCAGTACATGCCACTTGCTATTAACACTTTCTAAGTGCAACTAGAAAACATTACACTTGTCAACAGATTTCCTGGTTGTCTGTAGTGATCAGTCACCGTTAACAGAATCCTGATGTTCTTGGTAATACTAAGCTTGAAGCAGTGCTTCTAGAGTTTTTTCTGTTTCTCTAATGAATGTTTGTTTCTTTAGAGGAACAGGCCATCTATTTGGCAAGGAACTGAATTACATTGTATCCCAACAGTATTCTCAGAGTTGCATTTTCAGGAAGGGGGATGGGTAAAATGGCAGGTTGTGTATCAATTAATTTAGTTGTTTTCATCACTTAGATTAAAAGTGTCGTTCTCTACAACCACCAGAAGTTTCTCCCTTTATGCAGTCTGGGGTTGTGATCTTCTTGTCAGGGTGTGTTCAGCTACCATGTGTTGGACCATATGGCTCTTTATGTAGTCTATGTTTGAAGTGGGACTTCATTACTGTATGCATTACAGAAGTGCCAGAATCTGTCAGTCTTGTTTTCACATGGTGACCAGTTAACTTTAGCATGGAAGGGTTTGAATTCAGTACTGACAATAGCCTACCCATTAAGCCTTAACATGGTTATAAGAATGTGTAAGTACAAACTACTTACAAATCTCTTATTTAGAGGTAGATACTAAACTGAATGAAAGACAAGGCTTGGAATAGCCATGTCCTTCTCTGTAACCCTGTAGTTACTCAGCTGGTCAGATGTTCAATTGACCTAGCTGACCTGCTAGGTCAATTGAACACACAAAAA